GGATATCCCTGTCTCTGTGCGAGTTTGTTTATGTCCTCGTCTGTCTTTGGTTTTTTTCGTTGTATTTTGTTTTGTTTTTTTACTGGCACGTACTGTTGACCCTTGGGGTCCTTCCGGAAGGCTACCCCCCAGGCTGGTGGTGCGCACATTCCACTATTTATTTATTTATTTGTTTCTGATTCTTTTGTTTTCTTGTTTTTTATCGCTCTGCTAACCCTTGGGGTCCATTTTATTTTGGTATACCTTTTCTAGGTACGTTAGCCTGTGACCACGGAGATTGACCGAGTCAAGTGCTGGATTAGTACGGAGAGATTGAGACAGAAGGAGGTACTGGATAGAGACCGGGATGGTTTTTAATGTGAAGACAACAACAACAACAACTGTACAAAAAAAAAAAACTTATTTGACCCTTTGGGGTAGCGTATCAGTGATGCTTACAGTAGAAGAGAATGGTACACCTGGTGCATGGGTAGGGCATAGCGTTCAGTTTGTATCGTGTTGATGTTACATTTTCCCCCTACACTACTGTAGCTGTTCGAACCATGTGCATGTTTGATTCCCACCTTCTCAGTACCCATCGATCTCTTCCGCGCCAAGCCCTTGCAGACGCCCATAAAGCATGCTGTCGCTTCGGGAAACCTTTTTCATGGCCAACCCCGCCGCCGTGGCTCCTGCAGTCTGTCAAGCGTGTTGGCGGCACGGCGGTTGCTCGAAAACCAACAGCCCGTGGAGCAACAGCCGCAGCAGCTAAAAGCACTCCTGCTCCCCATGCGGCGCATGTCGACCGGTGGCCGGCGGATCGATCACACGGCATTCCGAGACACAAGTAACAGAGCGCTGTACACCTCAGAGAGGAGGGAAGTGAGTGTACGCCTGTGCACGCGCGAGAGGAGAGCAGCAGCAGTGACAGGTGACTGCTGCTGGCTGTGTGCTTCACCTGTGGAGGCGGGCAGCGGGAGGATGGGGGCTCCGCGGAAATGCCGAAAAGGGAGATGTAGACTATCGTTCGTCTATTGCTTTCTTTAGGCAAGATAGAGCTTGCTCTCTGTCCCCCGCTCCGAGTCACGCACACTAGCGTACAGCTGAGAGGCCATGAGAATCGCAAAAGGCGTTTCTGAAGCCCTCCGCAGCCCCGTGAGGCGTGGGATGCTGGAATATTTCACAGAGCACGTGTGGCAGGTAAAAAACGCGGCGTAATTCCCAGTTCAACTTCCGCCGCGCAGCTGAACCGCTCCGCGCTCGGTCGTCCCCCGACCGCCGCCTTCGTGTTGTGCTACTGCTGTACTGCTGTACACTGCCTTCCCTGCGCGCCGTGCTGTGTGCTGTGATACTGCTGTGTTTCGTTTCCTGCAATCCGCTTGTAGAATGCTCAGTTCTTGTGCATTGGATGTGATATCACTGCCGACGGCAAAACAAAGCAAGGGCAGCTGTAGTTCGTTTAGTGCGGCAGTATTTCCGAGGGCTCTTTTCTCGAACGGTCGGTGCGATACCTGTCCTTTTCTATCATTTTGTTTTCTTTTTCCGAGTGGTTTGTACCCTATTCTTGTTTTGTTTCCCCGCGGCGTCGTATGTGCCGGGTTTTGAGACCACGGGCTCCCCATCTTTTGTGGACTATAGAGCTAATGTGAGAAACAACAACAAACAAGCACACAGACTGCAACTATTGTATCAACTCTGATGTCATCACATCGTTACCTGGGTTCCCTGTGTTTCATGGTCTTTCGATGTATTTTTGCTGAAAAGCATAGACAAGGAGAACTCGGGCAATGATTCTATGTATATGTTACCGCTCCAAGTTAGCATGCCATCTTGTTGGTTATCGGTAGGCGGAGTGTTGGCGACGACAGATATGCGGAGTTTTTAGAGTGCTCATGACACAGAGAGCAGAACCACGACATGATGCTGTAGGTCTGCACACGTGGTACCCTTACCTATAGCAGTCAAGTCGGAGCATCCAACCTACACAAGCGCTTACGGGTATGTTCGGTCAACCACTCAGGGCTCCGAAGCGTGTGTTGCTGTACATGTGTGTCGGTGGACAGCCGGCACATCATTCCACGCCGTTAGGATTGAACATCGAGACAAAACCCACCAAGTGATCTATTTTATTGCCGGCGAGGCGAGCAAAAGCACTGCAACAACTCAGTGCTCACGCAATGATGTACATACACTAGTTGTCTGGTGTGCGGTCACACTAAAATGCCGGGTTTTCAAGTCTTTGTCCTTTCGCCATGCCCGTGTTCTTCCTTAGTGGTGCGAGCCGAAGCCTTTGCGTTGACGTGTCCTGTATGCGACCTGGCTGTACTCGACCTGAAGGCACTCGGGCCACAGCTTCCGATACTCCGCATTGTCCCGAAATACACACAAGTGACGCGTACCGCTCCACGACCCCGCACCAATTTCGATACAACTTACTACGCTGACACAGACACTCCATATGTGATCATTGACTTTTTCCTAGGTGGGGTTTGCGCGTTCGCTCGGAGTCTACGATGGCATGCTCGTGACTTCGGTGGGTCAGCAAGGCAGCATGCTAGAAGCGGTCTACACGATCCCAGAGAACATTTGCGTCACAGGGGGCACTCTCGGGGGCGGCGGAGGGTGTGTTCTGCCGTGTGGCGTTACGACTGCCCTATTCGACGAGGTACTTGCGGGGAGAGATGTATTCCGACATAATTGTCGACCAGATTGAGGTTGGCTTCCGCACGTGCGTCCCCAAAGAGCGCTGCGTGTGCTGCATCCGGCGATGACATGGCGTGATCAAAGGGCAACCATGCCGGTAGCATTCTCTTGTTTCGTGGTTGCTTCAATTTTGCCAGTATTCCAAGGAACAGCGAGAGGGTAAATGATTTCCAGAGAGGCAACCTACCTTGCCAACCCCAACTAGATGGGAGTTTTGTTTTCATTCCTGTGCTGTCAATCCGGGGACACACGTTCGGCGAGGCTGCATTCGTGAGATATCCCAACGTGTGTCATCAACCCTCTTCCCGAAACCGATACCAGGTGAGCACCCTCGCCATGATGATTGCGGATAGGACGTGCCGCCCAGGCGTTAGCATATCTCTGAGCTGCCATATGTTCCACCCTGTGGCGCCGGGCGAGAGGTGAGACAGCAGCACTCGTTGGTGTGCGTCTCGTCCCTGGTTTGTTCCGACTTGTTTGTTTCAGCAGATGCCCACGATGGCATTTTTGCTCAGGGATATGTTCGTCTTGTGGAAACGTGACATTTTCTCGGGCCTGGAACCGGGGAACATCAGAGAACCGCGCTCACGGGCGTCGCATCCTTACTTCGACGGGATTATGTTGGTTCTAATGGTGCCATTCGCTGAAAACTTCGTGCTACCCAGGAGAGAATGATTCACGGAGTATGTTCATGTGGCGTCACGGAACCCTCACAAATTTTATCGTTCCAAGGACATATCTGCTGGCTCCGTCTGTGAGCACCCTTTACGTTGTCCTCCTATGACAACTCCTCCCTATCTCTACCTCTCCCTGTTCATCTGACGCTTTCATCTGTGGCCCCGATGTCGTGCATCCCTACAGGGTTACCTTCAAGTCACGAGGGCTTAAAATGGGTGCACGCCTTGGGTAAGTCCTTACCGCGTGTATCCCCAACGACGTGCCTCGCCGGATCGTTTTTGTACAGGAAGGAAGTCTAGGGTACGACAATGATCTGTGCTTGTCGGGTCGAGTCACATGTAATTTGAATGGTAGCGTTTTTCATCGTCGTGGTTAGCAGTGAAGTTCAATGCATCCCGCCCGCCTCCCGCTCGGTTAAAGCTTTATCCATGTTGACGAAGCATTGCGCTTCGCTTTCACGTGCCATTTCTACACACCAGTGTCGACGGCTCGCATTTATAACATGTGGCCCAGGAGCGCAGTGTATGATTTCCCCGGCGAATGCGTGTTTAGGGTTAATGGCATGGTGCCTTCTGCCAAAGTTTTCTCGCCCGCTCCTTCCGCCCCCGCTGCAGCATGCCTCGCGGAATCGATGCAGAAAATCACTCAGGATGCCAGCAAACCCTGGCCCCTCCTGTTCATGCACACAACTCCGCGACCTGTTGACTACTTGTTCTGGCGCAGATACGGGGAGGCTAGCATGTACCGTGAAGACGGAAAGCTGGCGGCGAGGGGCCGACACGTGAAGCACCTCCCGATGGGGCGCGCGTGGGACCTTTCTACGATTCCTTTTGTCTTCCCGTACGCCCGCAAGTTGTCTGAGCGACAGCACGCACAATGGCTAAGAGATCCGGAACGATCAAAGGTAACGGTCGAGGCTGCGCGCAATATTGTAGCTCGACGTTATTCTGAGCGGAAACCTGTGCTCTGCGGCTTACTACACAGCAAGACATCTTCTGGGCTGGGAACCGCTTGTACCGGCCAGATCAGTACACAAAGGCTAACCAGGTCGCGTGATCGCGTTATTGTCACCCTCAGGGATGCATCTAAATTTCGAAGAGTATAGCCACGTCTCACATCTGCCTGCCGCTGCTACACCGCAACGATCCGGGTCAATTTTGTTTCTCCGTTTCCGAGCGATACATCACCACAGGGCTTATGCCTGCCTCACTTCCCCTCTCCCGTCTATGATGGCTTGTGTGCAACTAAACCGGAAGGGAATTCCTACGGGAGAGCATCTACTGGATATGTTCAAGCTGGAACAATTCGAACGTGTTGGAGGAGGTGGAGACGAGGAGTACTTCGGCGGGGCAACATCTAGCGGCCCCCAAGTTGAAGAGCAAGCGGGAGAAGTCGAGGGAGGTTTTCGTAGCGCCGAGGCGGAGTGCCTCGTGACGAGACGCATGTGCAACTACATGCCAGGGACGATGCACGGCGGCGCGATAGCCGTTGCGGCGGAAGAGATCTCCCGACGATGCCCGCCAGCACCATTCCCGATGGACGCCGTTCCGATTCCTGGAAACCCTCGCGTCCAGTACATGGAGGTGCACTACATGTCACCGATCAAGCGACGAGCTGGGCTGGCCGCTGTGTCGGCTGCTTCGGGGATAGGCAAAAACGTCACAAGAGTAGGTCTGTCGGAGGCGGGCGGGACGGAGGGTGGCGTTCTAAGCGCGGAAGCGGTGCTGCTGTGGAGTCAACGGGGCGAGGGGCGGGGAGGTCGTTGACTGAAAGCCAGAAGGATCAAAAAGTGTAGGGAGGTAGTCTGGCATGCCCACCGAGTAGGGGGTACATTTGAACATGTTTCATATCTAGGTTACCAAAGGAAGAATGACGAAACTGCGGCTTGTGAAACATTGGTTAAACACGACACGGCGTCCGGAAAGTGTGTTCTTTTCGTCGGTCGCTGTGTTCGTTTGCGTTCGTTGCTCGGAGGACACACACCAGTTTCTGGGGTGAAACATTGGAACCGTACGGCCTTTTTTTGCAGGGCGTTACTTGTAAGGACGAGCACAGCGCTCGCCCAAATACGCTTCGGATTCCGCTTTTCTCCGCCTACACTGGGAGGTATGACAACCAGAATGACGGAGAGAGGAGCAGACTCTCGCCGCGGCTTGAAGATTGGTCGCAATCGAGCTTACTATTGCGTGTTGCCTAAACCAGGACGTCGGAAACCGATCGTTGCCATAGTAGATTGGACCACCAGAAGTGGACCCTTATTTACTACGCACGTTTCTAATTGTGACGCCCACGTCACGTTTTGGACGTTCCCATATTCGTCACCAAGGAAAGGAACACCATGCCCGCTTGAACAGATCGAGCTACACACCAAACTTCCTTGGCATGTGAAAGTTTGTGCGGTACAACGCACGTGCTCGTGGAAGACACAGGATAAGCACCCCACAATACCTGGCGGAAGCGCGTCTGGGCGCTGTTTCCGTTCTGACCAAGAACGTGACCAAAACTAAGCGCGGGACTGCCGATCAATCAACCCGCTGACGAGAAAACAATAAGTCACGCACACGTTGAGCGTGTACTTCGTCGCCTATTCCCGGAGTCGTGGGTGGCGGCAGCAGCAGCTGGAGGGTCGTCAAGCACTGGCACCTTCCGGGGGAACACTCCCATCTTGCAGTCGCCCTTCGACGGGTAGACCATGCGGTCTACTTGCCCGTCCTTGATGGTGACGTATTTTGAACATGTTTTTTCGCAATTTGTTGACGAAAGGCACATTGACAAAAACAAGTTAAGGAGTTCGTACCATGATTCCTCTTTCCTCAGTGTGAAAACAAGGCCAGCTGCAGAAGACTTGATGGATTTTCCTCCTCGAGGGTACTGGCAACCAATCCTCCCGCTAGACTATGTTGTAGACTATACGTAGAACGCCGCAGAAATCAACTCACATCATGTAGTTGTGCGTTTCACAGCAAAATCGCACTTGATCGGCTTATTGCACTTCATGCATTCCCATGAAATGCATTGCGAATTATCTGCGAAGAACAGCAGCGCGGCAGTCGTGAAACGCGCATCTGCGAGGGTGTTTTTCTCGAGGTCGCGGTCCTATTGTTGTGAAACTACAGCGACACCAAGAAAAGCGGGAGCAGGGCGGCAGTTTTCAGCGAAATTTCTCCACAAGTCATTGATGGGGCTTTTATTGGCGGCACATCTGGTGCACTGCAGACTACTAAACTTGACGTAAAAATAACTAGCCAACTCTATGGTTCATCCCGCTCATTCATTGATCACCGTAGAGAAGCCGCCTTTTTTTCGGTGTTTTTTATACATGGCAATGGGAACCATGCGCGTATAATTCGTACAATTTGTCAGTGTGTCGCACAGTGGTGCCCAATAGACAGTCGTCCTGGTGGTCTCTGTTGTATCAATGGAAGCCATCTGGTGCTTGAGAGTCCAATTATCGGCGACATTTGTTTATTCTGCTCCTTCGGCGCAGCCATGCAAAAGAGGCGCTTGAACGCGAGTACTGTACGCTTGCGGGTAGGACCGCTGTAGGTGTACTGTATAACATTGATGGTGTGACCCGCAGAAAATACTTCACATACATGTAGTCTCGGGTCAGCGCTCTCCCGTTCGAGACGCAAGGCCGATGAATGAATGAATTACGTGCGCTCCTAAGAAGAGTCAAAGCTGCGTCAACACCTCCAACGGAGAGCAAACACTGCTTGCCGGGGAAGGGGGGGGGACTCATATATTGGTTGCCCTTATCATTTGACCATGACCACTCATCCCCATTTCGAGACGGAGAACCCCGCTCGCATTGCAGGTAGAGATATACCGCTATACTTCCACGGCCGGGCGCTCTTGCGATTCTCCCATGTATTTTACTGCCTAACGGCTCTACTCTCTTCTTCCTTTGATGTGCTCTTTCCTTTTCCACCCGGTTACGGATTCTCCTCTTTCTCCATTCTGGCAAGCCTGAGTAAAACATTTATTTTACAAGGCACAAAGTGACTGCAGTGGGCCCATATCGCTAGGGTTAGTGGTAGAGAGCTTACTTCGAAGCAACCACTCCAAGAACAAGAGCATGTCACAACCGCTTACCTCACAAACCTCTAAGAGGTGGGTCGGGCTGTCGAAGAGCTTTCGGGAGGGCGCCTTGACATCCATCAAACCAGATTTCTCGACGGCTGAGTGCATGGCACCAACGAGGCCTTTAAGGACAGTTTTGACGGCGTCCTTCGGGTCGAGGAGGGATGATTTAGTCTTGGCTTTCGTCGCGTTTTTTGCCGCAGGCTTCTCCCCGACGCCGATAGCCACGTTCTCGCGTGAGAAACCCTTCGCCGAGTCTCTGTCTCCGTCAACGTTGGGTGTATTGTCGCCTGCGTCGCGTTTGCCCTCTGTCGGGCTTGTCGCGGCCGCTCTGGATTCCTGGCCTTGGCCATGGGCTTGCCATGGCCTGAACTTGGCCATGATGACATCTGCCTTGTCGGCACGACACCACGCCCTCCACAACTTGGACAAGCACAAGGTGCCCCAGATGGTAGGTCGGCAAGAAAGCGAGCGCACGAGAACGGTGACGGAGGGAGTGAGAGAGAGACGTGTTGTGAGGGAACAGCACCCTACATGGTTGCTCGCATACACTGGGTGCTTTCTTCGACCCGGCACGTCGACCCCCCCCGAGATTGCAGACAAGTGCGATGCTCGCAATTTTATTTCGTAATATCATCCCTACTTTCTGAGGGCTCCTTTTCTTGCTCTTGCCAACACTTCGGAACCGATCCTGGCAAAGCATAACAGCAAAGCGCGAGGGCTAGCATGAAATTGAAATCGCTCGAAGATCATAAAGAGAAATTACGTCGCATCCCTACATCGATCGGAGGGCTGCCGAATAGGTGTCAATATTCGCAGGGCAAAATCGTTCAGAATTTCGGTCACACTTTGGGCGGTAGAATGGTAACGCGGGAGGGCGTACGTCGACCGAACATCAATACCACGGTTGTGCAAAGTCAAACTTGGTACTCGCACGCCAAGTTGATATTTGTGCGGGGGTGTGTGGCAAAGCATAAATGGCACCACTACCATGCAAACAAGGCGTGAAACGATCATCAGTGCGCACCTCGCAGGTCAGCTGACGCGGCGATTGAAGACAAGGATTCAGCAGAATCAAACATGCCGGCGGATCGGTGAAATCCAGCATGCCGCCGCCGGAGGCGATCACCTTCCCTTTGGCAAAGTCTTCGACGTAGCTCTCAAAGTCCTGTTCCAATTTGATGAGCGAGATAGTTACAATATCCAGGAAAATAAGCAACCCAGTTGGAATTAGATTCGGGGAGCCGCTATGTGTTCCGGATAGTCTCCGGGGCAATCACATACGCAGTGCAAGTTTGCGCTGGGTGTAACTCTTCATACGAACACCCCGCAGTTGCACCCATCGCATCCACTGTTGAAGCAGCACATGGGGTGGAAAGGCGGTCGTGGCTGCCGTAGCCGTCACGACGCTCGCTGGGACGGGCAGTAATCCCCGAAGAAGCTGCGGCATTCTGACCTTCTTTATTACCGGCCCGCTCAAAAACAAATCTCCTCGCTTCATGTGCGTCCTCCGTCGAGTTCGTCGGTTTGTTGGCTTCAAGCAGGTGTCTCCCGAGAGTACACGTGGTAGCGCTTTTGGCACCGAGGCTGCCTCTTTCACACAGGCACACAGGACAGGACGTTCCCCCGCTCCTTGTCTGCTCTGTTGGTGCCAATATGACTTGTAGACGTTCGCGGGCCTTGCATTGTGCCACGGCGATACAGTTCCTGCCGACGGCCTGCCTGTCCTGACGAAGCCCATCACCCGAGCAGGTTCCTGCAGCAAGGGCGGAGGTTCTTCTTTGCTTCTCCTTGGAGCGACTCCATCCCAACGCAGGCCACTCGTTTTTTTTTGCTAGTGTTGCGCCGGAACAAACAATGGTTGACGTACAGCTATATGTTTTATCGTCGTTCGGTGTGCAGAATAACCCAGGTTACACCCGGTACAGTCCACCTTTCGTATTGCGTCGTCGGCGATTAGCGAGACTGCTTTCGTCATTGGGTCCACGACGTCCCCGACGCTCTCGATTTCCTGGCTGACGAGTTTTGCGTCGAGCTCCCTGAGGGATAGGTTTAGCCGTAAGCGGGGGGCACGGGAGCATGAACAGGCGTTTGTTTTCACGAGAACACAAGAAAAAAACGACCCCCGTCACGGCCTAGCTCTACCGTGAAACAGACTGGAGTCTGTTATCTTCTGGAACTCGTGTCCTTTTCGGTCGCCCCTGTATCTGTATCGTGCCGAGGCGTATCTTCTAGACTTGCTGCCGCACACGGGATTATGATCTTTGCAGGTTGCTTTCTCACGTCTGCTGGTTATCACGTTGTTGGTGCTTACGATGGGACGTCCCGCGAAGCCGGTTCATGGGACCCGTAAAACGTTTCACGCGTCCCATGAACAGGACGCCTGATTGAAAATGTTGGAGAGACCGTGTTTTCTCATCCATATGGTCACCGATTGAAAAATGGTCAATATTAGGCGTCTATCGCGCCCCAAGCGTCCCATGGGCGCCCACGGGGACGTCTACAGGTGGGGGCAGGCGGCTACTATACCCGTCCCATGTGGGATGCCCATGGGGCGTGTGGGACGCGTGGGACGGAGCATGGAACGCCTGGGACGGTCCATGACACGCCCGTGGGACGGCCCATGAAACCCCCATCAGACGCCCCGTGAGACGGGCACGCGGGACGTCCCACGCGTTCCACCTCTGACACGAGAGTCATCCCCCGCGTCCCATCCCATGGGACGTCGCGTGAGCTGCTGAACCTTAGACCACAGATCGTGGAGATACACTTTCCTCTACGCCGAAAACCCCTTGTCGCAAACACAAACCTCAAAGCCTCCGAGAAAGCATCGGCGTCGTCACCAATCCCACTTTTTTCGAATTCTGTAGCTGTTTTCCTGAAACGTTCCGCGACACGTGAAAACGAGGGAGTTACACGCGCTGTTTTCCAAAGACGAGAGCACCTTTGCGACCGAATGTGCGTCGCTAGAGGCCATAACCGTGAATGAAGGCCAAGGACAGAGAACCTACCTGGTAGCATGCACGAGGATCGATGAGATGCGGGTCTCAAGCAGAATACACGTCCGTCCGTATAAAATTCTTGAAAATGCCTGCACTTTGTGCACCTTCTCGGAGAATGGGGAGGTTGTTCCACAATGGAAAAACAAGGGTTAACTCCATGTTTCCGACCCATCTCCCTTCGAA